CCTATGGAGGCTGAAGGATGCGCTCTTAACTTCTCGTCTGATGCAAGCACTTGTCTGGGCCAATCTCCCCCTGCAGATGCTCTGCCTACCATGACATGGATGAGGAAAGTTTGACAGTAGCACCCCAGAGCCATGGAATGCTGTTAGTAGCGCTGTGCTTTTCATTGCTAGGAAATTTCCATTTTCTTCAACTGGTCTGATGAATTTGGTGTAGCCTATCAATGGTAAGACAAGTGTCACCCCTGAGCTTGATGAGCTGTGCTCTCTTCTAGTGAAACCAGTGAGTCCTCTCTAACTTATGTCTTCCCTAAGTATTATATTCTTGGTGCTAGGTGTCTTCCACAAATACTTGCAAAATGGTCATGGAAATAATTTTAAGCTATCTCTTGCTCTGACAGATGAATTGCCAAGTGTGAAATGCCTCTCCATTTGCGGTGTTTATTAAGATCCTTCTGGAAATGCTATGCATCTTCCAATGGGCTTTAGGTTGGCAGCTGATAGATGAACATAAATGTGAACTCCTGCTTGCAGAACTAAAGATAAACAGCAGGAGACAATAAAGTACATCTCAGTCCCACAAATGAAGTGACATCCTTAAGAATTCTTTTCTGCTTTCTCCAATTTCATGGAATGTGTTTAATTACTTTCCATTATAAATGAAACTTAAATTAGACAAATGTGATCAGAAATCTTCCCTTCATTGCACAGCTGTATTAGCTTTATGATGTCACAAATGTCAGAATGAAACAGTTATATTCTTTCCTTTATTGGCTAAAATTTGTCCGTGGTTGTAAATTCATGGAACTCAATTAGATTACAACAGATAGCAATCTGATCCTCTTTGTTTAGTTTTGAGGTGAAAAGATTTACTAATGGCTCTAATTCCCTTATTTCCGGAGTTAGTTAACAAATTCAGCTAAATGATATTCTGCCTTCAGTATCATGAGAGCTATTACCAAAAGTGGAGGTAAAGGAGGGTCAAAACCTACACAGAAGATTTTCCTCTCTGTATTAGATATTCATGGCATAATCTGAGAATGCAACATGAAAAAAATACTCAGCTTTTGTCTGGCCTTCATCTGACCTAAATTCCCTCTTAGGCTGGGTCTCTCTGTATGCTTCACCCAATTTCATATTCTGTAGGTCAGGCCATTCATCCATTGTTTTAAGATTTACGACCCACCTCATGCCTCACATGTATAGCATAAGCAGTGAGATTTGGCTGATTTTTACCTGCAAAGTGTGGCTTTACTCTGACAGCCTTTCACATTCATTCATGGCTTCAGTTGGATGAGTTTCCTGGGTGGTCAGTGGGTGATATGGTCGTCCAGAGCTTCAAACTGAGCTGCATAGGTTCCAGGAAAGAGTTTCACAGCAGTGGGAAGCAGAACAGGCTGCAAGCACTGGTTATGAACATATCGTTAATTAATAAACTTATATGCAGCAAAGGAGTCAAAGCATTCCACCAAAACCTTTGGAATGAAAAGTATTACAGAAATGTAAGATGTTACTGCAATTGACTAAATTAATCTGGCTCACTACCGTGTGGGAAGGCATTGTTTAGAATGACAATGCAGGTTTGTTTAATCTGGAAAAGTCATGCCTGTTCTGGAGCTTTTATGGGGATTCTGGGGAGGTGATGAGTAAAGCTGACTCTAGTAATTTGTAGTTTCCTTCTCCAAATGAAATGGACCCAAGATATATTATTATATCAGTGTAAGTCTGCAGTATCACAACTGAATATGTTACAATAGTCTATACTACTGTAAAACTGCTGAAGTTTCAATGAATTCCATGGATTTATTCCAGATTTACTGTCACTAGGAAAAGAATCTGTCCTAATTGTTGTTCACTAACCCATATAGTCAAAAGTCCTCTTTGTCCATGGGAATCTGCATTTATAGGTACAGCTGTACTACAAAGCTAGCTATACAAATGTTAACACTTCATCACCGGAGTAAATGTGAAAGATGAGCATTATTAAGCCAGAGTGCTCCAGAACACTGGTTCTGGAAGATGTCACTATAATATACTGCATCCCTTGGCCAATTATGTCTCTTTTGACCTAGATCTCATGCATCCAGAAAAACACTTCTTTGGAGTTCAGCTTGGATCTGCTTTTCCCCGCAGCCAGTCTTTAATTGAGCAAAGTTTCCTGAGCTCATTTCAATGAATATTGAGTGGATATGTCAGCGAGTTTGTTTCTGAGCCCTCAGAGATCTCATTTGCTCTGGCATCTGTAGTCTCCATCAATTTTACTGTGTCTAGCCTGGAACATATTCGTACCCATCCTTTCACCTCTTTGTACATAAATGGAGGGCAATGGCTGAAGAACGAACAAAATTCCAGGAGAAACACTTCATATTCTCTTTATCTGTTTCCTATTTTCACGTCCCCTATTTAATCATGATTCATCTCTTTCTCTGGAAGGAGCTTGGAAAAAGACTGAGTTAAAACTGAGCTAGAACCTCAGAAAATTGGGCATCACTAAATGCTTTGTTTGTTCCTCTACATATAACACTGCTGAATAGATAGTGCTGACACCAAGGAAAAATAAGCAAGAAACTGACACAGAGAGGTTGGAGCAATGTGGCCAGCAGTGACTTCCAACACTGTTATGGAGTCCAGATCAATCCCAGAAAAGCATCTCCTTTATTAGTTTCTAGGTATATGCCATTTTCTGTTATTTGTGTTACTGATGATTATTATCCTTAAGTTCTTTTCAGGCAAAAATGAAGGGGGAAAAGGAGAATAATAGAATAGGAAGACAGAAGTGGCCTCAGTGAAACATAAGCTGTCTCTTTAAGCAGCTTCAAACCTATGCCTAGAATAGCTGGCCTTTCCAGGCTTTTCTCCCAGGCTTCACATTTTCTGCACTTCCTCATGCCCATACATCCAAGGGAAGTGTTTCACATAAGAAAGGAGTTTCTCAAAATGGACAAGGAAACCCCAGGAGGTTTTTTAATTCAAACACTCAAAAGTGTAACTGTGCCCTAAAGGAATGAGACAAACTTTGGAAGTTTCTGAACACAGTCTCTTTCTCACCAGGTGCCCTGGACTGGGAGGGACTCTTTCTTCCATGTACCTTTTTTCCATCTATCTGAAGAAGAAACCTACAGGAGACATCACCTGCCTGCAAACCCCTCAGATCGTTAACTAGGTGGATCTGTGCATTTTCATCCTGTAATAGCTTGCTGCTTTGTTGTTTCTTTACTCCATGCTCATAGGTGATGTCAAAAATGTCATCCCTTATGAAAGCTAGAAGGAAAGGACAATGTCAGTGTGTGTGATATGTAGGGACTGTGACAGGGAGAGAGACCATAGATATAGGTCTGGTGTCACTAATAATACATGAGGGAGGTCTCTGGAGAGAAAGGCAGAACTTAAAGGATTCTGGACAAGTAGAATTCAGTCCTCATTTGGGGGTTAATTATACCATTTGGCCCAATATATCCGGATGTTTCACCTTCTTTCATATATTAGACCATTTCAAACATTTAACCTTGAAATGACAGAGCTGCTGTGGCTGTTCTTGCATGGCCCTGCCTAATAAATTTAGACTTGGGTGGGTCAGCTTGAAGTATCTGGCTCCAAGTCTTGCAGGGATGCTGGTTTTATTGCCAGAGGAACTTCTCCAGCTAAGGTACAGACTGAAGAAAATCAGTAGTGACTCTGATAGTATAAATTTTAAGCTATTCTGGTTCTTGATTCAATATTACCTTAAACTCTCATTCTCTCAGCCACCGATGCCTTTGTTGGGAGTGCCGATTCTGAACACTGCACCTGAGATATGTAGTACCCTACATTTCATGTAACAAATAGACATTTGGGGGTAGTGCCACTGCGGAAGAGAAATTCTAGTATGACCCCTGCCAGCCAGACCCACTTCCTATGCATCACATGGGGACAGCTGCTGGAGAGAACACAAAGATAATAGAACGGTGTCTTTTCTTCTCCTTCTCTTGAGAGGATACTCCAAGAACCCAAGCAATTCAGTCATAGTCTAAGTGCTGTACAGATATTGGTAACTAATTTGTATTCTATGCTACTCTGATAAAGCAAACAAGTAATTTTGTTTATACAATGAAGGCTCTTTCTCTACCTGGATATATTAAATTAAAGTTTGGGCCAAGATCATTCAATGTTCTTTAAATTAGAGTGAAAATACGGATGTCACATTTGTGATTGAATTGGTACATGAAATTTTGTGATTGTGTTTATGTCAGTGGGATTATATTAAAGTACTGCATTTATTTTTACACTACATCAGGTGTCACAAAGAGTGGAACTCTGGCACACAGTTGTCAAGAGTCAGCCAGATTGTTTTGGGTTTTGCTGCAATAGCAGTGGGACTCCTGCAGGACAGCCAGCACGATCCACGACATCCTGGTACACCCTTGAGCAAGCCGATACTGAACAGTCCTGCTCCACTTGAGTGTTGGTGCTTTCCTGGTTACCACTTTTTGCCTCTCCAGTACTCTTGCCTCCCACCAGTATTTCTAGTTCACTGTGCACACCCCTAGCAGGGCTCAGCCCTGAACTAAAGCTCGTTCTTGAGAGCTTCCTGGCATTTTTCCTGGAATTCTACAGGAGTCTGGGAGTGAAAAACGCCTATTTCATAGAGCTGAAAAGGCAGAGGGCAGTGTTCAGCCTTTCTCTTGCTACACCAAATTCGGCTCCACCAGGCACAACTTTGCTTAAGGTCTTTCATTTTATTCAGTGAGAACCAAGCTTCAGCAATTGTATCCTGTTGAAATCAATGTCAGGGATTCAAAGGCAGCTCTAACATTTGGCATCTGAGCAGGAACTCCCCTATTTACATGGGTAAGGCACTGGGCAGCATCCAGCTTAGAGCTCTGCTTGCTGCACAACAAAGAAACATGGGTTTGTTTAGCTTTCAGTAGCCTTGGAGCAAGACGCTTATCACCAGATGCAGCTCCCGTTACATAGCGCTAGCCTTGGAGAAGGCTCTCAACAAATCATGGGGTTCTTGTTTGCGAGGCCTCTACTGGCTTTATATTATCTCTGTGCTGTGCTGAGAGATATTGCATGGGAGGAATAACAACTGCTCTGATGGCATTTGCTGGGATCCCCTTGACGGTTGAGCAGGCAAGCTGGTGCTCCCAGTGGGCTGGCCTGTGTTTCTTTGAGTAAATCTACGGGAAGGTAAGGGCTGAGAGCAATAAAAGAGGAGGGTGGGGTTTTTTATTTTGTGCATGGGATGGGCCATGAGTACAAAACACAGGTTTTCCTATTTGTTGTAGCCTCACCTTTGGGGTCACAGTGTCATTCCTTGTATCTTCACATGGCTCCTATATCAGTTAGGAAGTCACTCCCTCAATCCCCACTTGTAGGTGAAAACGGCAAAGATTAAATTTCACATGCCCTGTGTTCAGCCTGACGGCTGCCTCCTCTGGGGCAGAACAACTGTCACACACTGATACTGCTCAGTGAAAGCCCTTTATGGCTCTGATTCTTGCAGTACCCCAGGCTTGCTTGCTTCAAGTTTAATTCGATTGTGTCAGCACCAGACACAGATGAGCTTTTAAAGTCAGTCTTTGTCAGAGAGGGCTCTGGCACGAGGAGCTCACCCCACCGCCACTTCTCTGCTAAATCCATCTAAACCACATTCGCTCACAGTGTGCTTTGAAACAAAACCATTGTAACCACATATTTATTCCTTTTTACATCTCCATGGCTTTGCTTCTTAGGAACTCAGCATGTTTTGTTTGAATTATAAGATGTTTTTAATACTCTGTTTGTATTGTGTTCTGAAGCATTTCTATTGTTGTTCTGCAGTGCCCCAAGTGTTCTGGCTGCAAATTGCTGTAAGTACAACTGGATTATTACTTTGCTTAGGTAAACACCAGAAAATAGCTTTAGAATCATAGAATCATTCAGATTGGAAAAGATCTTTGCGATTATTGAGTACCTAACTGCCACATCTACATGTCTTTTAAATACTTTCATGGATGGTGACTCCAGTGCATTCCTGGAAAGCCTGTTCCAGGGCTTGACAGCCCTTCCAGTGAAGAATTTTTTTTTCATATCCAACCTAAACCTCCCCTGGTGCAACTTGAGGCCATTTGCTCTCATCCTTGTTACCTGGGAAAAGGGACCAGTCCCCATCTTGATACAATCTCCCTTCAGGTAATTGTAGAGAGCGATAAGGTCTCCATGAGCCTCCTCTTCTCCAGGCTAAACAACCCTAGCTCCTTCAGCTGCTTCTTATAAGACTTGTGCTCCATACCCTTTCCTAGCTTTCACGCCCTTTGGACACAATCCAGTGCCTTCAGTGTCTTTCATGTGGTGAGGGTCTCAAAACTGAGCACAGTGCTTAAGGTGGGGCATCACCAATACTGAGTTATTGACAAATGCATTGGAGTAAGCCCTGACTGTATGTACAAGAACCCATGCCAGAGTTCACATAAATAATCAGCAGATAAATACACATTCATACATATACAACAAAATCGTATTCATGAACTTGAACGTCCAGTAGATGTCAAGGAATCATGCTGAAAAGATCACCTCAAATTTCGCTGCCTTCGAGGATCTGAGATTAAGTTTGAATGCAAATCTGAGCTCATTCATTGCATCTCCTGATTTCTATAAGAGCTTTTTTTTTTTTTTTTTTTTGATTACTTTTGTGCAGCTGCCTCAAACCATGAAAATATTTCTCAGTTCTGGCTTGCATAGCCTGTACCCACAACAGGAAAATCCTGTTAAGCCAAGTGAGTTTTCTGCCCTTGTGAGAGAAAGTCTGGGGAGAAATGTTCATTAGCTTGTGGCAGCAATTATTCAGAAAGCAAACCAAGTCATGTTGTGAGGCACCTTGGGCACTCTCTCATTTACTTTCTTCCTTCTGAATATCTATCCCCGTGAGGCAGGAACAGCAAACAGCAGCTAAGTCACAGTGGGCCATGCATGTAGATGCACAAGGAAAGACACCAAAAGCATGTTCCTTCCAGGCCAGAAGAACAAGCAGACTTGCTGAAGAAAATGCAAGACTCCTTTACTATACTGGTGGTTGCTCATGCAATTAAAATGCTGCTGGCACAGAAAAAAACAGGTGCCTGAAGCCTTTACCTTTCCACAAGCAGATGCTGGCAGAAGCTTTTTAGTTCGGTGGGGAAGTGGAAGAGGAGGGAAGAAAGCCAGATTTTAATTCAACTTAATTTCTTTGCTCCTGGCCCGTGGCTTTTGAGATGGATTTTTTTTCAGGTACACATTATTTGGCTCATTTTCTCTGAAATCCTTAAGCTGTTTCTCTCTCCAATTTGGCTAGGAATAAAGCAAGGAGTTGAGGCGATCAGTAGCAAAAGGAGCGTAGTTTATTTTAGGTTGCTAGGCCTTGCTCTTTGCTTTTATTTTACCTTGTCTTGATTATTTTTATATATGGCTGTGCCTGCAGAAACTCAATAGGAATTAAAGATACCTTCCAAGGAGCTCAGCATTGTCCTTTACTGAATTTTCTGGGACTGTAATGTTCAGGAAAGGAGAAAATCCTGTTCTATAGCCTTGTTCCAAAGGCTGGATGATGGACAACAAATATGAAAATTACATTACTGTGTTTTGACTAAGAGTCTCTTGTTTACCAAACTATTGAAGAATTTTTAGTATCTTAATTGCTATATGTAGAAAATAAAGTTGTATTATTACCATCTCCTCAAGAGACCCAGATCACTCCCATCTTTTGGGGCTTTTTTCTAAGCACCTTCAGCATCCTCTTCATTCCCTCACATCTGCTATATTTTGTGTCCTGTCTTAGTTGGCACAATTGTTCTCCATTTGCAGGACCCAGCTCTGCTCAGGCTTGGAATTGCAAGTCTAGCACCTTCCTTTCTTTTTGTAAACCCAGCTCCACAGCGGATTTCCCTGGATTTTCCCATTTGGCAGACCTCTGATCTCATCTGGGACACTTCATCCCACATTAGAGAATTTTCTTCAGTCCCTCATTAAACAGTGTGTCCGACTTGCCTAACTGGTTAGTCATGGAGTTTGTGCCTTAATGCTCTTTTTGTGGCCATGTTTCAGTCACACTTGGCCACACAGTGAGATCTCCCAGTGCTCTATTGCTCTGCAACACTCCACCTAGGGAGATAGAAAGGGATAAGGACTGGCCCTCAGGGACAGCTCTTGTCCAGTTTTTGGTTGCTGAAATGGCTTCAACTTTGGATGTCAGCAGTGGTAGAGGTTAAAGTTAATCATCATCCCAAACTTTTCACCATAGCAACAACAGTCCAAATCCAATCAAAATTATAGTTTTCTTTTATAATTTATTTTCTTTGCACATTTTTAGCTCTGGTTATCCTCATACAAGTCTCTGTGGAGTCACGTCTCTCTTTGCCTTTTAACAATGCGTAAGTCCATGTCTACAAGCGCCCCTCTCCAAACATCCCTTTGTAGCTCAACACCTGTGGGCTGGAGCTGAGGATTCATCAGCAAATAGATAGTAGAGCTAAAAATTACCTCAAGGAAGATCTGAACTAAATCTTTCAAAGCTCTGAGATCACAGTGCTTTAATTAGCTAACAGACAGCTAAGTACTCTGGGCCCTTGAAACAACACCCTGCAACCAGGTGCTCTTATGGGCCGAGAGTCTTACTGTAGCAGAAATTTGGAAGATTTTCATCTATTATCTCTCTTGCAAACTTTGCCATCGCTTTTGAATGTAATGTAGCAACAGTACAGCATAAAATAAAATAAAAAAAAAGAAAAGAAAAGATAAAAAAAACCCTCTCAGACTCCAGAGAAGAATAGCTCCTGCCATTTCCCTTTTGTATCCACTGCTGAGGTATTTGAAAAGAGCAGGAGATAAGTAACCTCATGACTACTACAGATTAACAGGCTCTGAGGTACCAAACACGATTGCTGCTGCTGGGAGTATAATGGCTATTGAAATTCACATTTATACAGACATTTCCATGGTGGCATTGCAAAAAGCAGGATGTATAGAAGGCTACAGACCGTAAATGCTGAGGCCATGCAAAATAAGACAAGGAGCAAAATCCCTGTCACTGGGAAGCAGCAGAACACTGACCAGTTCCTACTGTGTAGGAGACCCTCTGCAACTTCAGATTACAGATCTTTCTCAGAGACAAAGGATACACTCAAGTTTGGAAAATTACTGCCAAAGGCTTTCTACAGGGGAGGGAACATGAGGCCCTGACCTGCAACGCTGAGTGACGAACTGCCATGAAGTGTTGGCTGTCCTGACAGGCTCTCCAAGGCAGATCACAGGCACTGAGGGACTTCTACCAGGTGATCCAGGGAAGCTGTGGAGGGCAAAGGTACAACAGAGTTCTTGGGTTCTCTTGCAGCCTTTATTTTTGCTTATGGTGTGTTTTGCAGAGCTCATTGAACAGGGATGGGGCTTCACGGAGGAGGTGCTATGGCTTCTCACATTGCAGAGGCATGTTGTGTGGTTGTCCTTGACACATGGGTTACAATGTGCCTTGTCATCTTTCTCTGAGGTGTGTATCAGAAAGTGCAAGCAGGGTTTGCTGCTGTTTAAAGCAGGAATGATTTTTGCTTTCCTTGCTTTAGCACTGGAATATGAGAGTCTCAAAATCAGCTCCATTGGGGTTGCACCAGGACAGTGACACTGATAATTCTAATCCATAATCTGTGATGCAAACTGTGAAGCATTCTGCACGAGTGAATTCAGCTTTCCCAATCTCCTCAGTTATAAGTCAGTAGTATTGCTCCCATGCTATGGCTGGGGAAATGGATGTACTGAGAAGAAAAGTGCTTCTTCCAGTGGCACCTAGAATACCAAGGACAGACTTGAGAAAACAACATAGATGTCCTTTCTCCAAGTCTCCAGGTCTAATGCATACACATGTAATTTGTCAGTAAAGACACAAGTCAGTTCTTTTTGCCTTTCCTCATATTGTACAATGTCTATACCCACAGCCTCTGAACACCTTCCAAGCATTTGCAGTGTTATCCTTCCAGCGTGCCTGTGAAAGAAATACTAGAGTGCCTCCTTTTACACATAAGGAATAGCAATTCAGGGGTTTAAGTCGTGTTTCATGCCTTTGGTTTGAAGAAATCGGAGATTATGTAGAAAGTTGAACTGGTAATAAGTAACGGTTGCATAAGTTCCGGAAGAAAGCACTGTAATAACCTGTGATTTGATATTTAGTTGTAAAAATCTTAATA